CTGTAAATGCAAATTTATATATTCTGCAATATAATTGGATTTTATTTTCAAAATCTAAGTTTTATGGCAAATATTAACACTTGTTTAGGCAAAACCCCATAAAAATCGTAATTACGTAACATAAATAGAGATGTGATAAACGTGCAATGTACAAACTAACTAAATCACAATAAACAGCAGCTCTGTAACTTTATGAAGAATTAAAATTTCATACACATGCTAAACGCCATAGTTTCCAACTAAACTTGTGAGAGAATACTACTGTTCTTTCCAGAGCCAGCGTGCTATGTTCAATGGAAATTCTGTCAGGACTGTAACTAAATTAAAAATTACTTTTAAAATACATTAACAAATAGAACTAATCAAAAGGATCGGTTTTTTCTAACTGCAAATCTTTTAAGAAAAGCAGCAATCATTTGTGACAATACAGAATATGTCAGTCTCAAGTATGCCAATTCTGACCGCATATGCCAGGGAAGCTCACGAAGAGACAAACCGTACAGCAAAGCAGATGCTATTCTTACATTGCATGACCCTGGATCCCATCCCACCCATGCAACAGACCCAGAACAATTACGCCGCAGCTTAGGGTGTTACCAAGTCTTTGAAGGAGCATCTGGTTCAACTAATGTTTTCTCTACTCATTAATAAAAGAAACAAGCTGCAATAACTCACAGTACAGCACACACTTTCAACAACAAGTAATGAACATGAACTTCATACAGTGATGAAGTTGCCAGAAAATAGGACATCCTTAAGGGTTTTATACATGGTCTATCCTCCACAATCAGAATACTTTCTGGTGGAAAACATTAGATCTCTATGGAAATAGCACTATCAAATAGTCCAGCAAAATTCAATATATAACAGTTAAACAGTGTCTTTTTTGTCTTTTTTTTTTTTAATGGAAAAAACTTTTCATAATCAAACCCAGATGAAAAGTTACTGTAGAGTGTTTATTCTAATTTATTACATACATGTCCACTTAACTGAAGGAGCCACAATGTCCACCACAAGTTTCTGTAAAATTGCTTGGTCCTGATAACCCTCAGCTCCTTGTTCCAGCTGGAAAGCCTTTTCTTTTTAATAACCAATTCAATAAACTGTTGAAAAATGCTTTGTGTAATATAGTATTGCCATAGATCTGATGTTTGTCTCTGTCATTACATATTGCATTCAATCAATATACAAATGTTGCTGTGTTCCTTTTGTGCTAGTTCTTCTTATAGCATCCTGAACACAAATCCAAAGATCAATACCTTGTCTGCTGAAAAAAAATTGGGCATAACAAATGAATAATTTTATTTATAATAAAAGTCCAAGTCCCCAAATGGATTCTACTAATGTTAAAATTCATTTTTCATGTTTAACACATGGCACAATGCAATGAGAAAGGCAGTGATAAAAAAAAAAACAGTTCATATTTATTGAAAATGTGAGCAAAACCATATAAAGCTATGGCATATGGCTAGGAAAATATCAATAACATGGTAGGTCATTCACAAAGTATTTGTTACCATATTAAAGAGCAAAAAGTCCCTGTCAAAGAGCAGATGGATTTTCTTAAAAGACACTACAGTTCTGCTCTGAACTATGGAAGCACCGAGGCTTTGAATGAAATAATTTAAGATAAGTAGAACCTTAGCTCATGCTGGTTGCGTGAGCTGATTCAGTTCATCTTGTGCCTTTTGTGTGACGGAAACAACACATTTGCTGACTATAGACATATCCCTGCACTATTCCAGCTATCAAATAGCTACCTCCTCTAAAACAACTAAGTAGTTGTACAAGGGAGCCACAAATGACTTCTTTCACAATCACTCTTTGCAGAGTAGAAATCTAACAGAGGAAACAGGGACTCTACTCTTCATAGAAAAAGGTATCAGTACCTGTATAAGCGTACAAATCCCAGCAAGCTTACACAATAACCAGCTCACCGCCTCCCCACCCCCAAGCTAACGGCTAAGATGCGCACTGCATACAGTATTCCCACCTAGACTCTTGGCTCCATAACAATCCACAGGCATTAGCAAAACAAAATCATACCACTTCTGTACAAAAGAGAAAACCAACATGAAAACACACCCCCCAAAACCAGTATCTCGTTAATCGAAAGTGCCCCCATACCATGTGCCTGGCTGCTCTGAAATAAGACAGACAAGTAGAAGGGGCAGGGAAGCCCCATCTTCCTCTTTGAAATACACAGGAGAACAGAGTACGTACCTATTCCTCGTTTTGTCGTGGGAGTTGAATGACTCGATGTCTTCAGACGGGCTGTGGTCAGACATCTCAGAGCCTGAAGCCATTTTACTATTAGGTGACAGCAAAGGGACTGGCTGCCCTCGGGGAAACACGCACTAATGCTGCACACTGACCATGTGTAGCACTCCTTCTCCGTTTGGTTTTGCCAAATGAGTGAATGAGTTTGCTACTACTGTCAAACACGTGCATATTTTAGCTACACAGTAGATTCCAGCTGAATACCAGATATCCCTTACTCAAACAGTAAGATCCAGTTACTTCCTACTCAAGCATCTGCAATAACCTCATCTTCACTCAAAGGGGCCCTATTACAAACAGGTTTCTGAGTCCATGAACTAGTGTGCACTCATTAGACAGAAGCCTAATGCTGGGGCAATTGAGGTAGCTTTCTCCAGGAACAGGGGAACTCTTTCCTTACCAGGAAGACTATGTTCTTGCTATTCCTACTCTTGGTTACTATTAGCACAGTTTGACTTTCAAGTGTCAAACTGGATTCACAGAATTGGCAGCTGGAAAGAAACAAAACAAAACTTTGTGATGTGTTAACTGAACAAGCATGTTTTGGCATTGCTCAAATCATGAACGCTGACTCCATGAGGCCATTTTGACTGACTTTTTTCTAGAGTACAGCTTTATTTTAGAACTATTACAGCAAATTCACAACTCCAATCCTACGCTCTGTTTTGAGATGGAATTTCAACCTTACTAGTTAATTAAAGCCACCACCTGGAGTGAGCTGGCTTTCAAACTGATTTCCTTTGTCTCTCTAATTCACACACATTAATATTTTATTTTCTACTGGGGAAAAAAAAAAAGGAATGTCACAAGTGTGCCAAAGACAAGGCAGATAAAATTATTGCAATAAAACAAAGAAAATACACTTGTTACTGCTAGGTCTCGAGATGAATGCTGCATTATACAGACATTTTAAAGGCTTACAACTGCAAATTGCTCCATTTTACATACTGTATTCTAGCCTTTGCATCAAGATCTTTTTTAATTTTTTCTTATGAGAAAGGGAAATGGTTGGATTTTTTTACCTGAACATTTATTCAATGGAGAAAAACAGACTACATTATATATTACCACACATGAGCTATTAAAACAATGTGACACTATAAAATATGCTGCAATACTCATTATGGGATACCAAAGCTAAACCTGTGCAAATAAATGTATCTGCCAGTCTGCAATAACTCTACAACTAGAGTTTCTCTTCTTCAATTATTTAAGTAGGAAAGAAGCTTGTAATAGTAAAGTTTTATAGGCTGCTTAAATTGTCATTACTAGGCACTCAAAACTTTTTAAAAAGTATCATCTGAAATAACTCTTCTTTACTTTTAACAACAGATGTGATTGTTCACTTAACTGATTAATTGACAAAAATCATTAACTATTGTTTTTACAACTTCCACACACAGTACAGTTAACATTGTATTTAATATCGGATCTGGACAATGCATATACCGACACACTGCTCAGGCGTTGACAGACTCTGCATCTCACAGTGACTGATGTGATACTGTCATTAGATAACTTCGAAAAATTTGTAGGGTTTTTTTTATGACAAATCTGTAAATAACATTGATTTACATCACATACTTCAGAAACTTAAGAAGAACCCTTCATTTAATTCATTAAAATATGTTGGTGAGACAGTAACACCTTTAAAGTACCTGCAAAGCCTAAGCATCTTTGCCATGCATTCATAACCAAATGATCTGACTTCTGGTACAAACAGACGCCATTCAAAGCAGGTGTAGAGACAAGTTCTATATTGAACAATTATAATCTACAGAAACGTGAGGAGGAGAGGAAGGTTCCATATTTCAAAAGAAACAGACTTATGGGTTTTAAAAAATATATTCAAGGTTATTAAATTTTAAATTATACATTAAATTATGAAAGAAACAACGTAAAACTACAGAAGAACAAGAAAACTTTCAATAAACTCCAGACAACTTTCTTCTTTTCCCAAAACACATTCAGCCATTGCTTAACTGAATTCCTACTAAAATTTTACCATGGACCTCAATGGAAATGATCAGTCTTGACTATTTCTGAAAAGTTCCACCTCCGGCCACTGAAATCAGCACGTTACGCAGTAGCCACACTACCAAAATACACTAAATAGGTACACTTACTATCTTGCAGAATCAACATACCATTTCTAAACTAAGAATCTTACTCACAACATAGGGCTTCCTTTTTTTCCTCAGGAAATGTGTGTGCTCTACAGGTGGTTTATTTAATCCATTCCTACCTAAACTAATCAAAGCAATCTGTCCCCAAAAAAATAAAAGCCTTCATACAGGATTCTGCTGCCATTTGACAAATTGTTTACGCTTAGCTAGAGGAAGTTGAAAATTCTTCATAAAGAAGTTACCACATCTAAAAATAAGTGACATTAATAAAAGGGAAGCAGGATGTGTTATTTAGCATAATATGAAATTTAAACACTACCACCTCAGATACACTTTAAAATGCTTTTAGTAGCACCTGGTTGTTTATACATCTTCTGTGGTGAAAAGGTCAATAGAAATTCACCTCTAAGGTCACAGTTGCTAAGCAACTGTTTTCGGCAGTTCTGCAACACTGATCAAGCGTATTACCTTCCACTGCCTGGTTTCAGAATAAACCCGCGTAGCATCCTACCTGGCCTTTGAAGTGCACCGAGCTCCTCCTGCTTTTCCCACAAGAGCAAGTGCCCACCGTCGAGGCGCTGCTCAAAAGGATACGCCCTGGGACCACCGGCTTCCGGTTCACGAGAGCAAAGGAGAGCTCAGTCTTCAGGAAGACCACGGAGGGCTTGATGAGGTGCTGCCCAAATCTCAGCATGATAACTGTTAATCTTCAGGGTCTGAAAGAGACAATAGTTAAGATAATTAAGGGACTGACTTTGCCTTTCCGAACAACGGGAAAGAGAACTAAAGACCAAAAATAAGACGAAGACAAAACAAGACAACCAAATTGTCTAGGCAGCTTCTGAAAGAAAGTGCTCCCGGGATCACCAAGGTATTTTGGAAAGGTTGGTAAGGCTTTCCTAAAAGTATAACTTCTTTGAAGGGCTTCTTTCCAAGGCAAAAATTTTACATATAATTATTTAAGCCTTTTCACATCATCTTGGCAGGGCTACAGAATTCTAGACAGACAATGTCATTTCTCCCTCCCATTTTCATTTGTTCTTCATTGTATACATTTGATTCATATGCGCTTGGAGAAGCACAAATAGTATTTAACATGGCCTTTGCACAATGCAAATCAATGCACGAAGGACTTAGAAAAATAAAGAAACCACATTTTCTAAATAAATCCACTAAATACCTCCATTGAAGAAATACTGACAAATTAAGGAAAGCATATTTAGTCACTTTCCACCCATGCTTTCCAGTTTCAGCAACCGAAATGTGAAGCTGATCAATAGTTGCGTGCAATTTTCTTTTATGCAAAGAAAGCCAAAGATTTCCACTTTCATTCACTAAAATTTTCTCTCCTCCTGGTGAGGATGAAAATACTTCTTAAATAACTATGGTACAATCCTAACAGCATTTATTCTAGGTCTTTAAGCCCTAGAGTATTTAAAGTATTTAATTCAATCAGAAATATCCAAGGTGCTGCAGGGTAAACTTCAAATAATGAAGAATTTCATGTGACACAATACTTCAGACACATTGAAAGCATTACACTAACATTACCTTGCCTGAACCAAGTGACTAATCGGAAAATTCGGTTTTATAAGTTGCTTTAGATGGGGAAAGATACTGTTAGAATCATGTAGGGTCTTTTGGTGCAGTTCTTTTTTTTTGTAAATCTACTGTATTTAGTAAGACCAAACTTGGTTCTTAATCTAAAAGACTTCTTCTAATTTAAGGTCCCACTCCTTGAATCTGCTCCAACAAAAAGTGCATGCAACAACCCCCCCTAAGTGCACACACTATGGAAGTGTCTTTGAGAAGTGCTCGTTCTTTGGAAAGAAGTTCTGTTTTTTTCAGCTATCTGATTCCACATATGAACTGAGCTAAATTAAATTAAGGATAGCAGATGCATTAAATCAGGCTTTCCACCAGAAAAAACACTGTATAAAACTTAGTATAAGATACAGTAACCAATCAGATGACTACATATTCAAGTAATAAACATTCTCTAAGCAGGCACCATGTTTTGTTTATTTTTTGAAAATTACAGAGTAGAGGAAATGCTTAAGCAGACCATGGAAGAGTGGAGATTTTAACCATCCCTGTTTCAAAGACCTGAAAAGGTTCTATAATTATTTTTTTTCCACCATAAAATCAACAGAAGATTAAGTGTCTGAGCAGATGCGTCCCTTAACGCATACTAAACCTGAAACTTGACAGCATACAAAAATCAAGTCTCTTTACTTACTAGAAGAATCGCTTAGCAGAGGAAACACCTGCTATCTTGAGCTGATGTCTCAAAAAAATAATTATTAGGAACTTCAACCGGTCTTCCTCATTTCTCTTAAACGGTCCATCAGCAACCCCCCTGTGTGGGTTTCTCATTTTGATTAAAACATGTAAGAATGTTTTTACATGATATGATAAAGAGATGTGGTTCTCTTTGCAATGAAGGAAATGTTTCTGATAAAGGAGCAAAAAACATTAAACAGCCAGTACTACTGTCCAGTGATGAAACTGTAAGCGAGTATCTCCAGTATCTGGAAAATCAAATGTACCACCCACAGTTGCCGTTGCATCTAACAATACTATATGGACAGAAGTAAAAGTTCTACCAATCATTTCTTATTCTGTCTTCCAGACTACTGATAACTAAAAGCCCTGTCCAGAGACATGGAATAGACTTACACACAGAACCTACAACTGACACTCCAAGAAAGCTGAAAATGGATGACGTGGTGCTTTTCTGTTCTAATTATCTAAAATTATAGGGGGGTCCTGTGCAGCTTGCCAGTCCAACGGTGACTCAAACTCACTGTTAAAAACAACCAAATCCCACTCTCAAGCGTACATTGTGAAATTCTTCAAGTTGCAGAATGGAACAAATACGGATAATTACAAGAACCATGGTAAAATCTGTGTTAAGGACTTCATGTTTAGGGCCAGGGCATCCCCCAAGGTAAAAGTTTCGCTAAGTCAAAACATCACTGCAAGTAGTGGATTTGGGATAGACAAGAACCATATTGGAGAGCTGATAAGCAGTAAAAAATATTTTTATTTGAACAAGAAATCCATTATGAAGATCTTTTGTTCTACCTTAAATATCTAAATATCCTACTACATACCTAAATATCCTACTATCCTACCCAATACCTTACTGTCCATACAATAAAAATGCATTTCTCTCTCCCCCTTTAACTCTGAAGATTGGGAATCCTATTTAGAACTAATAGCAGACTACTAATCTGGCCTCAAGACCTCCATTTAACATCTGCATACAGGAGATGTTAAATTCATGGGAAATCCCAAGTATTCAAGATCTCAAAATGGGAAGAGCTAGTACCACAAAGCAGTGGGTAGAACATCCCAGAATGATGGAATGGAGCCCAAATTCCAAACCTGACATTTGGGTTTACCTGAAGTTGAATAGAGCACCGTAGCCAGTAGGTACTGCTCCAGCAGGTAACCTGTGGCAGGCAGGGAAGCGGCAGAATTCCCTGGGCCCAAGCAGCTCATTCACAACTGGAAACCAAGGCCATGACTCTACAAATCTCTACATCATCATAGGCATAGGTTCCAATGAACCGATGGAGAATATGTCTGCAATCCACGGTAACACCATAAAGGAGAAGGATCTCTTCAGGATATTCATCATCATCGGAACCCTATCAGTTATTGACCGTCATTTCATCACTGGAATGTTTTTATTAAAATTAACCATAAGCCGTATTGGTAAAAATATATATCTGATGGCCCTATCAGAACAACGCCATACCTCCTCCTTCATATTTCAAGAGAGATTTTCAAAACAGGCTTTGTCAGCTGAGTTGATATCCTGTATAAATACACTCAACATTTGCCAAAATAAACATATGCAATATTATTAGCCACAGAGTTTGAGTCACCATTGCTCTCTAATATTGACGAGTATTTTTAATGCTTTAAAAAAAATTTAAAATGCTAAATGGATCCATACATAGATTCTGTGGACCACAGAATTTAGCTTGACTATACCATGTATTCATAATACACCTACCACATGCATCTTTACTTATTTCACCGCCATTTGTTAAAAGAAGTAAAAGGATCAGGGTAGTAGAAGCACTGGCCTCACACATCCCTAAGCAATAGTTTGAAGACTCAGACTACAGCCCAACTGGGTTGACCCAGAATTAGTAGAGCGTTTTAAAATTTCATGCATAGAATTAATACATGTATTAAAACCTTTTCTATTTCTTTACTACACAATAATCTAACTGAATAATGTATTTCTATTCCTTCGTTCAGACTAAATAAATATAGCATGTGATTCAAACAAGCGTGTCAGTTGTACTGGTTGCACAACGTAATACTGCAGACTTCCCAGTGCTGTTGTCTCCAATTCCAAAAGGGGATTATGGGAATTTTTTTCTTAAGCAATTATTCATTATTTATTATATATTACTATTATTTATTATATATTACTTAAGCTGTTTTCCTAGTGGTCCTCAATGTTCTTCTGTAAAGCACGATTGTCTGTGCTCAGAACCAACGCAAATGCTAAAAAATACATTGGGAAATGAGCAATGGGTACAATGGGAAAATCTGTGGCTGTGCAGCAACACACTGCAGCAAGGCTGGAATATTCCAGAGTGCAGCGAGGCAGTAAACTGCTACCAGCAGAGCAAGCTTTCTGTCATCAGAATTCTCCCTGCTTATTGCTCGAATGGCCTGTAAACAAGCAGGAATCAATACAGTACAGGTGCATGCATGCAGGTCATGAGATCTAAACAGTGTGCGCACAAGGTTTCCCAGCTGATTGGAATCACCTCACTAAGCCTGGTCCTCCAGGGATTTCCATTGTTCACATAATGAGGAGGTCATTGCCAGCTAAAACAGAAACTAAATATAATTGGTGAAAGATGTTTCTTCTTTAATGATAGTAGTCTTTCTAATCCCAGTAATAAGGAGGACAATTACGTAGTAATGTTAGAAAATGAAAGAAATCCATTTCTGATAAAAGAAAATTTCAGCCCAGTTTAACACAGTTTCTATTCTGACTATTCAGATGAAAAGTGTATTTACTCTTCTTCATATTGCACGTATACATTACATTCCCTATTTCATCTGCCTCATTTTCCTAATTAAATTTCCTTCAAGCTGTGTTCCTGCAGTTGTAGGTGGGAATATAGTATTAAAGGCTAACACAGCAAGTAGACTAATTTTACAGCCACAACAGATCTCAAATCTGCATAATCCGTATTAGGAAAAAAAACATAAAATAAAGCTACACTGGTATTCTACATTAAACCCTGAAAAATACGAGTGCTAAAATTAAGAAAAATGTTGAGATACACTGAAATATTTTAAAATATTATTACAGCTTGCTAAAATTTCAAGAATGGGCACATTGCATTTCCCCAGCGTATATAAATACTACTCATATGTTTAATGCATTTTTGAGAGGAAATCCAAACACAGGTGTCTGTTCTTCAAGCTTACTTGGTTTGAGGTGCTAGGGGGGTTGTTTTGTGTTTCATTTTTTAAATAGCAGAAGCTGTAGAATCACTGGTGTCAAATACACAGGGAGAACTCTGAGCAGAAGATAAGGTTCACCTAAAGACGTATCCCTTGGACATCAAGATAGGTGTCTACTTGTTAGATGTCATCTCTAGAGACAGAGACCAATAGCCTGGAATACCGTTGGAAATTACTGTCTCTGTACTGCCTATAAGCAGTGATGGCACCAG